TGATCTACATACTTGCCTTCAGCACTGTAAAATTCAAACGTATGCAGATGACACGCAGCTAACTCTGTCTTTTGATTCTTTGGACATGCATGAGGCATCATATAAATTGAACTTAGATCTAGTTAACATTGAAGAGTACTGCAAAAGACATTGTCTGAAGATCAATGCTTCAAAATGTTCCACCATGCTATTTGGCCCAAAACAGTTAGTACAACGGTTAGATGGCACAATTGTTCCTAGTCTTAACGAAACCCATATTCCTGTAGTAGACCATGCGAAGTATTTAGGATCACCATGGATTCAGATTTGAGGTTTAAGCAACATGTTACGCATTTATCTCGCTTAACATACATGCGTTTGAAGGTATTATACACCAATCGCCATATTCTGAATTTCAAGACTCGCAAAAAACTGGCTGAGACTCTGATTCTATCGTTAATAAATTATTCAATTGCTGTTACTTTCCTTGTCTTGATTACGTGACTAGATATCGAGTACAAAAAATTCAAAATAGCTGCTGTAGGTTCGTTTGTGGTCTGCGAAAGTTTAGCCATGTGTCTAAGAAGATCAATGGGCTTAGATGGTTGAGGGTTGACCAGCTTTTCACATATAATTTACTAATTTTAGTACAACGAATAAAAATCAATAGGCTACCTACTTATCTACTAAAAAGGCTGGTACCACGTGAGGTTCTCAATTAAAGAAATCTCAGACATAACTCTGGCTTCAATATACCTAGTTATAGGAGCAACATTTTCCATCGTAGCTTCACCTACAACGCTGTCAAGGTGTATAATAGTCTTAATCGCAATTACAAAAGAAGGGAATACTTGCATTCAAGAGTGCCATTAAGAACCATCTTCTGGGGTCTGCTAGCCAAGCTGGCTGATATATATATATATATATATTTGTCTTTATTGTTTTTTTGTTGTTAGAGCGGGCTATGTAGAATAGATGTACATACATAGATGTAGGCAGCAGCGGTGGCCGCCAGTAGTAGACTCTTCGGTCTCCTGATCAGTCGCCGTGCGCTGTGCGGGTTCGAGTCCCGTCCCAGGAGAAATTTTTTCTCTTGGCTATGGATGTTGTTGATTGTCCGTAGGTGGTAGACGGTCTCTGACTGTCGAACGTGGAGGTACCACCCGGCGGATCTCGTAGGCGGAGCCAGAATGTGTGCATGTTGCATGTATACGTGTTCCCTCGCCAGAGTCCGTGTGGCGTCCCTCTTTCCCCTGTATCCCCCTATAGCCCCACGGTGCCCAATGGGTGTTTAGGCCTTAGGCCTTCGTGGTAGTTGGAGTATAAAAAAACATATTAAGATTAATCTATTTAAGCCTTAATTATTTTATATATTATTTAGTCGATTACTATTAATTGTTATATCTTCCTTTTGTATGTGTTCCTGCGCTGTGAGGTTAAAGTGGTAGAGTAGCCAGCTGGCTAAATTTCGCCCCGCAGTGTGGATGGATTAATAAAGACATTATTATTATATGGCGAAACCTGAATACGAAATGGAAATTTTATTGATGGAAATAACAATAATAACCAGAAATAAGCAGAGATATTCACAGTCTTCCAAACTCTGTTGCCATGCAAACAAATGAAGTCTGATAATTTGAAGGCCTACCTAGGTTTTGCAATGTCAGTGTATGACATATACATTTTTTAAGTCAGAATAAACATTTTATTCATGTGTTTAAGAATCCAATATGGCGTCTATAAAAAAAAATTAAGTTGATGCTGGTGGACAAGATACGAAACGTCATATTGAAATTCCTAATTGTGCCGCCGTGTAGAGGAGGAAATGTGGCAGAGTTCATGTGTAATTTATTTGAAATCCCACCACAAATAAAGTCAGGACGAGATTAAAATCCTTTTTTTTGAAAATTTCGTTTTTTACGTTTTCTTTCCGGAAGTGCTTTCAATTTCAAAACTTTCTAAGCGACGTTTTTGCAGATTATCTGAATACGCAACTTTGTCCCCTATTTATGCGACTTTCGTATCCCTTGAAGTTTCTGATATCCCAATGGTGAGGATCGATTTAAAATACCCTATATAGGGGAAAATATTATTTTTCACCCCAACAGAAACAGTCACTCCCTCTCCGTGGGCACCCGTTGAAAAAAACCTGTATCACAAATCTCCAGAATTCGTTATTTTGTTTATTTTTTCATCAGCTTTGGGTTGGACTTACGAGTACATAGCTAGAATATATAATACTGTTTGTTGCATACACTTCGAGGCTGGGCGACAAGGGAACAGGGAACAAAAACCATACTGTCCGCGTTTTATTAAAAGTCCATTCGCAATACATTTTGTCATGCATAATCACTGCAAGACGTTCATTCTTACTATGTATTTATTTCTTCAACTTGTCATTCGATGTGTGGAATCATATTTCTTCGAATTTATGTTATACTTTTTATATGAGAATTTAATGGGAATTACTGAGTAAATCTGCTTGACATTTTTGAGTGCTGTTATTTTTTCTAGAAAGTGTCCATGTTTTCCTCGAAAATTCTAGATCATCGTGGTTTACAGCAAATGAATCCCCAATTTTTTCAAAATTGTCTACTTCATTCTGAAAAATTTTACATTCAAATAATTATTATTGTACTTGACTTCGAGCTCTGACAATTTACTGGCAAATTATCTGCTGATTAATTAGACAGTCATCAAACAGTCAGAAGTTTCTGTACGAACAGCGGATTAGTTGTCGATAATCGGTATGACCTCTCTCAGCCAACTTGTAACTTTCTCATGTACGCAATTGATACAGTCAGCGACGTGTCAGTGACAGCTAACTGAGAAAACTAGGTCATGACTTGTCGCCGACTATCAGTTTGCTGATTGTCAGCAAACAGGCTGTACGAACAAACTAATAATGATCTAAAGAATTATTTTAGAATTGAAGCATTCGATGAAGCTTCAGGAGCAGCGGAAATCCATGACATGCTTAATAATAAATTAAATAAACTATATCTTTCTTTTGCAATCTATATTACCGAATTTTACGGATATGAATTTGGAATTTCAGTCTGTAACCCTCAAGGTGCATAACCTTTACCCCCGGATTAACGATGCGTGTAAATTTTTATTATGATGTTCCATAAAATCAGGATGTTTAAGAAATACAGATATAGAGCTAATGTTCAATATCGAAATCGAGAACATTTTTTTCCAATAGAAAAAATTTACTTGGGTCCAAAAGTATTGGAAGAAATGAATAATCTTTTTTTTACCGAAAATATCAAATATACTTTCAGACTGAAATGTCTGGATTTTTATATTGAAGCGGTAATCCAAATATGGAAGCGATTCCCCTTTACTTCCCGAGAAGTACAGATTCTCAAACCATTCATTTTTCTGCACCCATCAAATATATCATAAACTGAAAGCATAGGTCCTCTGGCTAGTAGGTTTCCAAATATAGTTAAAGACATTAACAATTTAGATAAAGAATTTAAGCAGTTGAAGGCCCAAAAACAACATAGGCGCTGAGTGCACTTTCAATATAGTTTACAAATATGCAGCTAGGAATGGCAAGATGGATATTGTAGCAGAAACGGATCCTTCGACTTTTCACAGACTCTTGTATGTAAATAAAGTGAATATAGCAGGTGTAATGTTTTTGAGCATCTTTCCATAGTGCGATGTTTTAAATGCTGTGAATACGGTCATATACAAAAAAGTTGTGTGAAAGGTATTGTTTGTCCTCTGTGTATGGGTAATCACGAGAGGAAATCCTGTAAAAGTCCTAGACTTAAGTGTGTCAATTGTGCAGTTTTTATGAAAAAAACAAAAAAAATATAGATACGTGTCATGCAGTTTGGGATAAAAGGTGTGCCTGTTTAAAAAAGGTAGAAGATATAGTTCGTGACAAAACGAACTACTCTCAGTAGTTTTTTTCAGGGTTAAATTTAAATTTAGCAAAACAGTTTTTATCGTCACTTTTAATCCCATACAAACTCTTTTTTGTACACACTTTCTATTCTTTCTTCTTATAACCTCTTGCTACATTCTTTGTTTGTTTTTTTTTCTAAATATTTTAACGATCTTTTAGAACTGATAACATGTATGAATTTGATGTTATTGCAAATGATGACCATAATTTATTGATTGGCTTTCTAAATGTGAGATCCTTGATTAGCTCCTTCAGTGACATTAGGGATAACGTTTTGCTTCAAAACTTCGATGTGTTTGGTTTAACAGAAACATGGCTTAAGCCTGAAGTTTCGAACAAGCATATTGATATTGAGGGCTTTCAACTTTTCATATCAGACAGACTTGGCAAAAGAGGTGGTGGGGTGGCTTTTTACATAAGAACTGGACTTAGTTGTAATATATGTAACCCTAAAAATTCAGGTTGAAGTTGGTCTAGAACAAATATAGGTTAAAATTAAAATTAATAAGCACTTACATGCAACTGGTATTGTTTATAGACCACCGTTGG